CCCCAAAACCCCAAAACCCCAAAACCCCAAAACCCCAAAACCCCTCAATTTAAAAATATTTTTGAAAAATGAAATTTAAAGAGTTCGCATCCTGATGAATGGTCTTGAGTTTGATCGTTCAAATAGGACTTTGTGGATTTGCAGAGAATTATCGGAATAATTGGTATGTGCTGGTAGATACTTCCAGATATATCTTCAATTACAGGCATTTTAGTAATGTCCTTGGGATATATGAAAATCTCAAAAAGCATGGAATCAAGGATGATAGGATCATTCTACTGGCTCCAATGACATATGCATGTGACCCTAGAAATCGTCTTCCTGGAAAGATCTTTTATGATCCTGAAAAGGACATTAATCTTTATTGAAACAACCCTATTGTGGATATTCGTGGAGAAGATCTATCTGATATTAATGTTATTAATATTATTAAAGGACTTTACGATGAGAACTTGCCTACTTCTCAGAAGCTAATGTCCGATGAAGACTCTGATATCATGTTCTATTTCACAGGTCATAGTGGAGACGAGTTCTTTAAGATACAAGATTCCCAACTGCTTTATTCCAGAGATATCGGAAAAGCACTTGATATTGCATATTTGAAAGGAAAGTATCGAAAAATATTATTCATTAGCGACACTTGCGAAGCATTTAGCTGGTTCAGCTATGTCCAAGCCCCTAACGTAATGTATGAAGCATCCTCAAAATTAGGAGAATCAGCTATTTCTCATGGATGGGACAGTAGAATTGAAAATTTCCTCTCTGATAAATACACATTCCTTCTTTTGAAATATTTTAGAGATCGATATGAAAGCTTGTTCAAGAAGACTTCTCTTCATACTCTTTTTACAAGCTTTGATGTAAAATTCTTGGAAGCTGAGCCAAGTTACGATCATACTTTGATAGATTCTAATCTGCAGAGCGAGCCTTTGCTTGACTTTTTCCCTGCTCCTTTCACTACAGATTCATCATCTCTATTTCCTGATGTACAGAGGTATTCAATCTTTGAGAGGGTAAAACGGTATGCTACTAAGAAGGACTTTGAAATCGCTGCTAGCTTTGTAAACAGCCTATAATTCAATATAAATATGATATACTGGGGTTTTGGGGTTTTGGGGTTTTGGGGTTTTGGGG